ATTCAATAATATTAAAGTTCAATTTGAGAACAGCACTTCTGGACTCTATTTCACAAAATTTATGAACAAAATGACAAAGTTCAAAATATCAAACATGAAGGGAAATCACGTCTTTATCGTTTAAAAATCATTAATTTTTATTGAATTAATTTTATTAATAAAATAAATGTATTAAATTACATAACATGTTTGCATATTCATAATAATATTAATAATTTAAATAATTATTTATTTAATAACAAAAATATCAAATTAAAGGTTGAACGGCCGAGCAACAGGAAAAAAATTTTCACACGAAAAAGTTGTGAGTAAAATTCAAATTAAAAATAAATGCACTTTTGTTGGCTCAAAATAAATGCATTTAGTTTTGATATTCATTCAAAAAAAAGACAATTTTTTAAAAAAAAAAGACACAAAAATAAAAAAAAATATATTAAAAAAAATATATCCAAAATTTGCTGATTAAGTTGCAATTTTTTCACACATCAAACACACTTCACATTTTGTACTTTTGGTCAAACACGCATCCGACGAATGTTTTGTATTGTTTTTCGTAGCTTTCGAGCCTTTACGGGCTCGAAGCCGTAAGTTGAGATACTACAACAACAACCAACAATAACAATATACGTATATTTTGGTTGGTTCAGGAAATTTCGAATTTGGGTGATTTTGAGTATCGTGGAAATTCGCTTACATAAACATGACGCCTAATACTCATATTATTTCATATGAAATCTAAAACGTAAATGATTATAATATATTTTTATTTGAGTTTGTTGTCTTGTGGTCTTATGGTCTTATGGCAGAGGCACTCGCCAGCTTTAACTATTGTTGTGTCATTTCACCTCACCATTTGTATATTTTCGTACGCAGATACAATTTCAAAAACTGTTCTTTGATATTCTACGCTGAAGTTGTTTACGTATTTGAGTATTAGAGTTCGACATTCTGCGGTCTATTTCAAATATTTCAAGGCCATAGAGGACGTCTTCAGCCAAAAGATTTATTACCTTTCGTTGGAAATTGCTTAACGTTTTTATTCTTGTATATAATTTATTTGTTTATTTTTTTTTTAATTTAAAAAAATTAAGTAATCGAAAGAAGTAAACAAAAACATAGTTTGTTATGTCATAAAATTGGTTAGATCAAGAATTTATTTTTGGCTATTGACTTTATACTTTCCACCTTTCTTTTGAATGAAATTTAAATGCGTTAAATTTTGACCATAAAAAATTGTTTCGTCATTAACTTTGACTATGACAAATAGTTTTGTTGTTATTTTGTTTACCAAAATTTTATTGATATTTAATTTATAAAATAATTAATTAGTTAATATTATGCAAAAGCAGGAACTGATTAGTATTTATTATATCATTAAATTCTTGAGAAAGCATAAGGAACAGGAATGTAAAAGCTTAAAAGGTTTTATTAATCATGAAGACGCAATATGAACTTCACTGAAGAACTTGAAGATAACGATTACGCAGACGATATATGCCTTCTGTCGATTAAACGTAAAGATATGCAAACGAAACTGGAATATCTTTCAGTAAACTCTGCACGGTTAGGTCTATCCATAAACCATGAAAAGACAGAAGCTATAAAAATAAGACCTACAAATTAAAATAAAATTTAATACAGGTCGCATCGCAAATGTGGCATTCTTCACATACCTAGACAGTGTGATTTCAGCAGAGCAGGAATGGGAAAACCAGCTTTGCTTTTGCACAAGTATAGAATATATGGCGCTCATCCACTATATCCATCAAAACTAAGTTAGGATCTACTTTACTTTTGCGAAACACGGTCCCACACAGACGCACTAATAAGCAAGCTGCAAAACTTTATCAACCGTGGACTACGCCGCATACTTAAAATATGATGGCCCTAAGTTATAACTAATGAAGAACTTTACGAAAGATGCAATATTGATCCTGTAATACCTTTGAATAAGCGTTGCAAATGGAAATGGATTGGTCACACAAAACGTACGAGTCAATCTGAGATCTGTCGCCCAGTACTTGAGTGGAACGCTCAAGGAAATAGAAGACTTGGCTATCCAAAGGCCAGCTGGAGGCAAACATTTTTAAAAGAAATTGAAATAACCGAGAAATCTTGGGCGGAGTCAAGCAGTAAAATTACAACCAGTTGAGATGGTAATGATTTATTGAGGCCCTATGCTATGTTTGGATCATTCATTAAATAAACACAAAATAAGCATTGCATTTGCCTGATAGTTATTACTTATGATTACAGGCGATACAACCAATACACAAAAAGCACTCGAGTCAATACAAAGTTTATATAGTCATTTATAATCTTATAACTCTAACTATTGACAATGATGAGAGATTTAGAAAATGAGGAAGGCGTGGTTCACAATATAAGGTACTTCATTTTATGCTTAATTACTGCAAGACTCAATCCTTCGTTTCTCAGTTAAGCTCGAGGAATGCAATGTATAAGAAATTTATGTTATAACATTATGATATCATCGATAAAATCTAAAAATATGATAGTCTTGTAAACCAATGCAATGTTTGCAATGATAATATGCTCTTGATTTTCTCTATTTTCTTTAAAACAAATTTTATGATAAAATGTTTTTTCTATAACTCTATTTAGTATTAAATGATTCACAAAGAATAAATAATAAATAAATAACAAAGTCAAGTATAGCGTCATGAATTTATAATATTGATGGAAGTTTTTAATGAGACTTACAGTTACAGATGAGAGTTTTTGATGCTAAAAAGAGTGTTTCTAAAATCGACCAAAAAGTGCGTTGTTAGAAATTGAGAATATCATTAATCTTTTAATTGATCAATTATTATATTAGCAAAAGGTTTATAAAAATAAATTTGTCTACTATAGACTATTACAAGATTGTCTATTTCAAATAGACAATTAACTACAATAAGTTTATGAAATTTTATAGGTCAGTTACTATAAAATACCAGTCCTAATAACTTTAAATTTATAAATATTAATTAGATTTGGCATATTTGTGAGTATATGAGCCTCACTTAAATAATGGCAAACTTAATACGAAATGGAAAAATAAATTTATTTCTCGATAATTAACACCTCTTACAGCTTAATCATCATAAATCCAAATTAGTAGAATTCAACATCGTTTCAATAAAATTGTAAAGATAAGAATTTTAAATTGAATTTTTACTAAAACCTTGACATGCATTTATTATAATCGTCCAGCCGGTGAAAAGATTATTGTTTTGAACTCTGAAATGTAAACAAATTAAATGTACTTTTGTAATTCCCTCGAAAATTGATAAGGGCTGATTTTGCCTTATTATTCCTCTTTTTTTGCAATAACAGAATATTTGTTCTTATTAATTCAAACTCATATGTTTTTTTGTTAAAGAAAGACTTATAAGTCAAACTATTGGCATCAGATATATATGAGTTTCATTCAGCTTTTAGGTTACATATGAAACTCGGTGCGAAAGAGCTGTTCAATTTCATAAGCAACAGAATTTTTTACCAATAATCTAAAAATAAAGGATAAATTGCAAAAGACATGAGGATAAATGCACAAAAATGCAAAAATATTTCCTTACTCTTTCCTGTTGTGTTACTTTCCGTGCTAAAAATAGTGAATAGAATAAAAGTGAATAGAAACTGAATACGCGGACAAAAACTAGATTTCAAATAAGTAAATGCTTTAATTTAACACTTCGCGTTTAATGTCACATATAATGATAATCAGGTGTAGTTGGCATTTTTGTGTAAAGTACTTTTTTCCTTGATACTGTTCTACCTCCCATGTTATATACGAAGTAGGTGTTTTAGGTATTAAAGTAAGTTTAAGAAGCAAACAATTGATTCCGAATGAGTGAATATGTGAACCAAAAACCGAGTAAAAAAATGTGTATCGCAACAAATAAATGATTATGGAATGGAATGCAAGTTAAGTGGTTTATTGAAGACCTCTAGTTTCTTGGTTAGTTTTGCCTTCATGGAGATCCTTAAAAAATAAAAAATTCTACAAAAAACTACACTTTTGAAAGAAAACTTACAAAAAAATTTATTTCTATTTATTATTATTGTTTTATATTTCAAAAACAAGTAATTTTTGTTTCTGGAGTCGAATACATATACTCGTAAGCTGATCAAATGATCCTTTACTACTTGAGGTGAATATATTACTATGTAATATATTCAGGTTGGACAAACTTCCAAGTAATAAATTTTATTGAAATAATATTAAGTGAAAGTATATTTTAAATACTTGTTTTCATGTAAACTTGATTTCTTTGTTAGATAAAGAGAAAACCGCAGTAATTCTATATGTTCTATACTTTAAAGTATAGAATATTAATGATATTTTAACAATACTACCTGTTTTAAATTAATGTATTTTATTAGCTCTTAAATTAGTTGATATATATATTTTACGTAAATGAGTTCGATTTGTTTCCAGAAGTGTATTTCACAATATTTATTTAAATAATTCTAATTCTTACTAAAATCGTCGATCTGTTTATTTGTCGTTGGTTGTGAGAATTAATAATAATTTATGTTTCAAAGTCAAAGTGATGGGTATTTTTTAAATAATAATATTAAAAGAGTATTTGAAGTTATTAAGTGGATGATTGAAGTATATCCTACAAGAAACTTTAGGACTAAGGAAACCAAAGAACACTTCAGCTAGAATTTGAAATGTTGTTGCTTATGATCTTATACTTCCATTTCTATGCTCTTGAGTAAGCGTGGTGGTCTTATGATGATGATAATCTTATATTTATAAGTTTATAATATATGGTATTGGATATTTTAGATATATAAAAACAAATCTCAATAAATAATACCTGCATAAAAATTCCAAAAACTTAAAAATCAAATGCGTTTTGTCTTCTATATCACTTCAGAAGATTTTAACTTAAATAAATTTAAAGTTTATATAAAATAAATAAAAGTAAGTTCAATATGTTTTATAAAGAAAAATTTTTATATCGCTAAATTCAAAATTTGCAAAAATAATATTTCATTTTCATTGTTTTAAAATTTGTTAAGAAAAAGTATGGCTTCCAATTGGAAGAAAACCAAAATCATTGAAATATCTGAAGACAGTAAACCAGCTGTGGAACGTAAGTTCTTTACTATTTTTTCTCCCGTTTTCTAGTAAAATTTTTTTAACCATAGATTCAATTATAATTGGGGGAGAATGTATTACTATGAGAAGTCAAGATACCCGCACAATATTAGAAACCCGTCGTTTTAACTACAGCAAACTTCTTCCAAATGGTATTTTGAACTCTATATATTATATGATAAAATAATAAAATTTATTTATTTTATAGGTACTGTTGTACCTATAGATGTGAGTACGAGTGTTCCCGATTTAATAGATCAATATATCAATTATTGTAAGTTGAGAACGAATAGCAATACTGCTTTCGCCATGCCTGTAACTCCGAATTTTGTTAGTCAAACTATTCCAAATCCGTGTGCAAATCAAATTCTTTTTAACACCAATGCTCAAACTCAGGTAGTTTAGTTAGTTCCAAACTGTTTAATATACAATATTTTATTATTCAATAATTTTTGTTTTTAGACAAACCTTACTCACGATGTAAGCACTTCAACCAATAATAAATTAATTAATCAAGTGAAGACCAATAATTGCAGCCGTTTTAGTAGAAATATTCAGACACAGGTATTTGAAATAATTGTTCATTTTTATATATGATATATGGGGTTACTTTTTTTCTTTTTAGACGAAATGTACACGTAATATCAGCACTTCAACTGATTATGAATTGAAAGGAAAAACCTTAAAAAAGTGTACACGTCAGTGTAGAATTAGTTGTTCAGACCATGAACTCCTTAGGAAAAAGAAGAAGATATGTCTTAGTTTGTCATCAACTCATATTGGTGGAGTTCGTAATGAGTCCAACATCTGAATGGAAAACTGGTGGGGGTTATTGGCATACCTACAACTAAATTATGCTTGACAACATGATAATTCCCTCAAAATGAAGGAAATGACAGAAAGAAATGCTGTTTTCGATTTGTATTGTGCTTATGTTTACTTAGTCTTGCAATATTTGAACCTGGGTAAGAAGTCCGTTTAGATTTGATATATAAATAAATATATATAAATATATATTTGATATATAAATAAAGTTAATTGTGGATATAATTTATGCACATTGTAGTTTTTTTTGTGGTTTATATCACTATCAAATATTACACAAAATCAAAAATACATGATTTATTTACAATCTCTCTCCAGACACCATTCTCAGCTTTGTAAAAAAATCAAAGAAACCAGTTAGTAGCCATAGGGTATGTTGACCTCCACCAACTACAAAGCAACAGTACCCATAGAAATAATGAGATTTGTACTATCTACAACATACCTTATATATACATACCTTATATATATACCTTATATATTTATAATATATATCTTTATACTATATATAATACCCATAGTTAGTAAGGACTGCACTTATTCATAAGTACAAACTCTAATAAGAGTTTCATCATCACCAAACCCAGCAAATCCTTTTCCCTTTCTCAAAATTTTATTTTTACTTTACAGTAACCACAAAAATTGAAAGATTAACAATGTCCACACATACGAGTAAACCCCACGGGTTTTTGGCTCATTGGGTTCCTGTAAAAATTCTAAAGAGTTGATATCTTTAATGAAGCTGAAGTCAGAGATGTTCTTCTATAGAAGGTGTTTTCAGTTGACAACTCTAGAAAATCAAGTCTGAAACATGTTAAATCTACATCACGTTTCTGTTAGACATGCACGAAGCAACGGCGAGAGTCATTGAAAGAAAGATTTAATTTTTTCGTAAGGTATCGATATCTTCAGTAAATCTCCTCTAAGATTGTGATTTGTTAAGACGTTTTAGTTCACGAAGCAACAGCGAGAGTCATTGAAAAGAAGGTTAAATTTTTTGGTATGTTATCCTTATATTCAGTATATCCCCTCGAAGACTACTATCTACACGTATATAATACGTACGCTATATTTTTTCTTTTTTAAATCCGACAAAGTTTCACGTAGAGTCTGCTTATCATTAAAGAGAGTTTAGTTATATTAACAACTTCAGTGACATATTCTAGTACACAGTTCTCCTGATAGTCTTTTCGCATCTCTATTACCCTCAACTTCAACGTTTAACCTTTGTTTTCCAGAACCTATACTCGCTTAAAACTTTTTAGCTCAAATAACATTCGTAATACCATGTTAATCTCTAATAGCTGATACTTTGTTCCAAAAATAGTGCTGAGTACCTCTTCTCCATAAAACGCAAGTCACACTGTTTACGATTTCGAAAAAGATATTCTAAATTCTTCCTAGCATTTTAGCTTTTTTTTTGCTAAATCATTTGCCAATTAATTATGTTGAGATTTTAACATAACAACAATTCCGAACTGAAGTGTTGTTCATAACATGCCACTTTAGTTGACGCAGTGACTACCATACAATCGAAGTGGTCAATGGACGGACGCATACTTAATGAAATTAATTCGAGGTGGCCATAAACGACAGCTAACAGAAGTGCGTATTTGCGTAGATGCGTGTGCCACACACAAAATAAAAAAATATATTCTGTAAAAATTCAATAAAAAACACAATAAACACGTTGTTAGTTTGTTTACGATGTTACCGGCTTCAGCCGGAGAATATTGGCGGCAATAGTTACTCTAATGCCGTTCTGAATTGTTGTTGGGATTTGTTGTTAACTACGAACTTAGTAGCTCAGGTGCGAATAGTTTGGCTCGAATTTCCGGATATTCTGCGTAGTAGCAATTACGTTTCATGTCGTCCAATCTGTCATCGATGAAATCGTCGTGCTGGGCCCACGTTCGGTACTCGCTAGGCGGTAAAGTTCTGTTGAGCTCCATTTCGCTGATATACGATTCAGGTTCATCATGGTACGGTGCGGTGAGTGCGTTGAATTCTTAAGAATTTAATTTATTTGCTTGATTGATAATTTTTGCAAAATATTTTTTCAAGGTAACAAATTAGTTTCATAGTTAGAAATCGTTTATTTTTTCCTTTTGATTTCGCGCCAAATTATTCTTGGTTGCGCTATAATCAGCAGTGACAGAATCAAGAAATATTATTTGCAATGAGAGTCAAATCGGTGTGCACTTGCACTATATATTTCGCATGAATTAGAATAGTGAAACCTTTTAAAGGTAAATAAATTAGTGAGTATTTATGAATTCAAGCCCATACCTAACTCACAAATTTTTAGGGCCATTCCTCACCAGCAAAATGAAGCTGACGTTGCTAATTTGGGTAGATCTACTTCAACTTTGGTGAATTGCTAATTTGCTGCATCGTGTTCGGTTTGTGCTACGGTTAGAAGCTCATTAGGGTCCGTATTATTGTTAAGACCATGTACTTGATTACATCCCTCTATTAAGTTCTTAAGCAATTCAACATCAGTAAACTGATGGGTATCGTGTTTTCATCTTCTTGTTCTGATGCAAGATTTCACGTTTGACCCGACAGTACTTCTTAATTTCCGGTATCATCTCCATAAATTGGTTCTGTGTCAAGTGGAAAATCTTTGTGTGAAAATGATAAGTTATATGGTTTATGATTGCTTGGATTCAATCTTGGTTAGGGGTAGATTACTAAACTGGAAGCTAAGTTTTTTTCTGAAACTAGAAAGTCCTATATAAGAGATGCAACTGGAGACCATTTTAAACAATTTTGTAACTGCTTGTAATAATATGTAATTTGCAATTTTCATTTAATTTTCGAGAGTATAGTAAGTAACGAATAATCTTTCTACACTTGCATGGTCTATAAACTAATATTGATATTCAGATGTCTGAGTTGGTGAATCAGCACCTTTACTCTATTTTATCTGTGGACAGTTTTAAGTCACACTAAGAATAACTGAATACGGGGCTTTATAATATGATGGATCTGATGTCTTTGTATCTGCCTGTGGTTATCAAATTTCGCTGTATTTTTAGGATGCTGAGAGTTGGATTATTGTGACTATCAATTATATTGAACAGTTTCAGAGCACGATCTTTAATGTAATATATATATATATATATATATATAATATATATTGCAGAACTTGCATATGTAAACACTATGTACTGCGTACCAATAGAATATTATGAACAGGTAGAGTGTATTTGGTAGAGTCAATTATTTTATCTGATATTTATGGAAATGGTAGTCAGATGTATATAGCTACTAACATCATAAAGTGTAATACTTTTAATAAATCTCGATATATGAAAAATATGTATGTATATATGTAGGCAGAAAGGGTAAGATTTGGCAATGCTGGGGAAAAGGGTACAAGGAGAATGAAGAAGAAGGCAGTCGGTAGTAAGTCGTCGTTGCAGTCAGTCGGTAGTAAGTCGTCGTTGTAGGAAGTCGATTGTGCGTATTATACACTTTGATTTTTGTAACAAATGAGTAACTGTTGAATAAACATTCCTACATATATTTATTTTATATATATATGAAATAAATATATCAATGATTTAGATTATCAATTCTTTTGAATGAACTATCTTAACGAACTAGTTTTCTTGCGAACTACATCTTAAATGTAGCTTCGTAGTAGTAGAAGTTCTATCATTCCTTCTATCTATTTCATCTGATGATTGCAATGAAAGAAATTGTTTATAGTAGTAGTGTAATTGAAGAACTCTCATCGTACCGCTCTGCCATGCCCACATTGCTTGGGTCCACAATTTCCAACTATTTTTTCTTGTGCTTTCGCTTGAAGTGTTTATGTTTTGATTTGAAATTCGAATTTGATTTTATTTCAAGGTTAAGTTTACTACAATGTCCATTGACCCATTTGGGCATTACAAATGAGGAGCAATAATTTTTGTTCTTCTTATGCTTTTATCTATTATTTTGTTTTGGAACTTTTTTTTCCTCCACTCGTATACGTTTTTTGCTTAGAAATTTGTTATTTAACAAGCATTGGAATGTTTGCAAAAATTAATTTGCAAAATTCGAGGGAAAAAAAACCTACGCAATAGGAATAGAATATATGCTGAAGTGAGAGAGAAAGAAAAACAAATATGCAAATTAAAAAAAAGAAAAAATTAAAAACATTCTCCTTAATTAATTACGAAAAAAGATTGTTATGTTTTTACGTAGTAAAGCATTTGAATTTTTGATAGTGGAAAATTTTTTATTCTGAGAAATGCTTCTCATGTGTTTCCCATTAAAAAAGTTCATTACTCTGTTTAATCAGGATCCATGATATCTGATGAGTTTAGTAACAAAAATGGAATAAGCTAAGCTTCGATGAGGAAGTCATTAGATCTGATGAGTTTAGTAACAAATATGGAATAAGTTAAGCTTCGATGAGGAAGTCATTAGATTTTATGTCTTAAGCTATATTAATGGTTAGGTAGACAGTATTAGTTATATAGCAGCGATAAGTTTTTTTTGACACTTTGTACGCCTAATATGGAGAGCCCAAAAATGATTTATATTGCAGCGTTATTGAAGAAGAATTATAATATATCTGGTTAGAATCAGGTACATTTTGGAAGATTGGTAAGCTGCTTTATACCTACTTCAAAACTGTGAGGATGAGTTATGTGATAACGTGCATAAAAACTCAACAAATGGGAAATAAAATTAATCGTTTCTATGTGATAAGTAAAGTTCTTAACCCAACTTGTTCTAATTTTTCGGAAATTTGAAAAATTTGTTTTAGAGATTACGGGATTTACCAAATAAAAAACAAGGTAATAATCTTTGTAGTAATCTCATTCTTGGTAGCAGATAACGGATTTGTTTCTGGAAATTATATAGTCAACAAAATATTCCATCAATAGGTTGATTACTAACTGTGATATGGTCACCTTAATCTGTAATACGGTAATTTTATGGGCAGAACACTCAACTCTTTTAGTATTTTAATATATGTAAATTAAGTCTAAAAAAGCTGTTAAATAAAGAACATTATACTAATATAGAAGTTAGAATGTAACACCATCCTGTTGAAACAAAATCCATTCCAAAATATATTTAAGTGCTCTTAAAAACAAGAAATGGTCTATGTTGTAGACTGATAAAAACCACTAGTCTATATACAAAGATATA